AATCAGTCTAACACAACAATATAACCAAAAGAATTGGCTAGGGGAAAAGACCAAAATACCCTTACAATTTCCGGACGGATTTCCCTGCCAACTGCCCAACTTACAAAGGGCATATCTCACTCATACGAACTCAGAATCGATAAAACTCGGTGGCGTTGGAAATATCATTCCACGAGCTTTGCAACCATAACTGGAACTACACCTAACTCATCCTGAGATAGAAGTTATGACTGCTCAAAGTTTGCCAAAACCTCACCTTTTTCCATACTTGGCCAAATTTCCAGATTTTAAATCTTTCCAAAAATGAAAATTTCCAATTCTAAGCCTCTTCATAATTATTTCAAATCGCTGGATGTTACAAAAAGTATGACCAAACACAACTCAATTTTAAATAAAATGAATAATATTTGATTTTCATGACCAAACGTCCACAAATTATTGAGCGACCATTTGTGAAATTACACACTAAATAACTTTAAGCATTTGTGAAATTCTTTATTGTAGTATCTTGAAAAAAAAAGAGAAGAAAAAACAATTATGTGTTCATTCTATTCAAAATTTTGTAATCAACAATCAGTAGTTCATTTACCAAGAAATATTCAAAGCACTTTGCTTCAATCAGTAAAATGTCTCACAAAGGAATATTTGTTCCTCATATACAGTAAGCTGCTCATTTTACTCTATTTAATCTATACTTCCAAGCTGCATCAGCTTTAATTCTGTTCTTGTTGCTCACCCTGCAGGTATAGTCTTGTGGCATGGATCATTATGCCCGGAAAATGGTAGAAGACGGTGAATGTGCAGATGACGAAGTCAATATCTCCAAAGTTAGCATCGTACAGTATTTCGTGGCTATATATCACAAGGTACCCCATGAACAATATCAGCACAGTGTGTATCTAACAAACAGTATTCAACAAATCAGTCATATTATTCATTCAAACTAGAGTCAGCGAGTTCAAAATGACTACATTGTAGGCAACCGGTGTAGATTTCCCTCCTATCCTTTGATTTGATGGCTTGATACAACAAATTTCCAATGCCAATTGTTTATACCAACCAAAAAATCTGAGAACAAAGCTGGAGAACAACCAAATGTCATTTTCATATAACTAGAAAACTCGAACAACGGATATCTAAACAATATTTAGTATCTTTTGAGTCTTACAGTTGCTCAATTTTGAAGAGATAATTGAAAATGAAGCCAACAGAAGAACCGAATGAATAGGCAGCCAACATCGAGGTTACGATCCTCATGTTCTGCATAAGACAGAAGATTTTCATTATAAGAAGCAACTTTGAGAATAATTCAACAAAATCTACGAGTCATTGATCACAGACATACCACTCTCTCTGGTGGAGTAAGGTAAAGCAAGATTAAATTTGCTACATAATAAAGGACTGAGTATTTCCCCGCAGCTATCAAGATCCAATGCAAAGTGGATCCACAAGTAATGCTCACCATAGCACAGAAGAGACTAAGATATACCTATATTTTCAGCAAAAACAAATCAATCTTTTGAACTGTAAGAAACTGAAATTCATTATCGGTAATACCTAAAAATCTTCTGAGAATCGAAATTGACGATATAAGAATTGGGGATTTAGTATGATCATGTTGTAATCGGTTATTACGTAGTAGTTTACTGTACTAAACCAGATTACAATAAAGAAAAATCGAACAATAATTTCATGAATTACAACATCTTTATTCTTGCGTTTGCGATCAAGTAGAAGGAAAGAAAAATTGAAAGTGTTAGGATGAATGTATGTACCATCTTCAAGGTTGAGTGAACTTCGTCGGAGATTTCATCCATATTCTGATCACGTAGTCTCTGTTCCAATTCCTATTGAAGTACCAATTCACACCATTAATCCCCTGATCTTTCATCTCTGAGAAATTCATTTTCTTCTTCTTTTTTTCTCTGTTTTTTCTTTTGCAGAGAGAACGAAAATGAGCTCTGTTTTTATTATACGGAGAAGTGTTTTTGCTAAAGTTCGTTACTAACCGTTATTCCTTTTCTGAGTTTACGATTCTACCCTTCAGTTATACGCTGAGTCTTGGGAATAAGACGGGGGTAGTTTCGTCTCTATGCTCAGGTTGTTGGCGGGAAGTTTTAGAAATACTAACTTTTATGGGGAATTTCTGTTTTCTTTTCCTTTTTTATTTTTATAAATTAATCGCATAGCTTCAAAATATATATCAATATTTTATTAATCTTATGTATGGGGTCATATAGTTGTGTCTAACTTTTGAATACCATGAATATTACTAATTTTATAGGTGTAGTTATATTGAAGACGATGTTCCCATATTGACTAGGCTCACCCATGACCCAACTTGTGAACAACAACAATGTAGCAAAAAATCGAGTTTATGATTCGGAACAGTGATATCCCGTTAGTCATGGATGATCCATTCATTCGAAATTATATCGAAGACTTGTTGAAGAATATAAGGACTTAAGTGTTGCTGAAACTCATCCCGTTACTTATTATTACTTTACTGTTTTTTTTTGTTTGAATAGAGTCTCCATTGATCATTGATGTGCAAAAAGTTACAATTTGAGTTTGGCATCCCAGAGTGTACATGATCATTGAGTTCCTAAATGAAGGTAAGCTCCGATCCATTTGTTCATAATTACAAGGCCCTTCAGGGAGTTCAGAGAAGGAGTTGAAGACTTGATTTCTCTCCAAGCCATGACTGATAGTGAACAATTTATCTGCAGGTTTATTGGCTTCTCTGAAGCAATGACTGACTAAGAATTCATGGGTACTTAAATATGTTTGCTGATTTTCCATGGTGGTTTCCACTCATTAGTGATGCATTTGGTGAGTAACATGGAGTCCGTTTCCCCATATATTACTCTGTAGCCTTTGGTCACACACCAGTTGTTTAAACCAAACAAGATAGCAGCAGCTTCTGCCATGTTGTTAGTGCCCTGACCAAGTTTTGATGCACAGGTAGTTTAGTATGCCAACCACTTATTTTATTGATGATTCTACTCAGAATGTTAGTAAAACGTAGACGTAAAGGAATATATGTTCATCATTTACAGTAAGCTCCATATTCTACTCTCTATTTATTCTATACTTCCAAGCTGCATCAGCTTTAATTGTGTTCATGTTGCTCAATTCCTGCACCCTGCAGGTATAGCCTTGCAGCATGGATCACTATGCCCGGTAAATGGAAGAAGACAGTGAGCGTGCAGTTGACCAAGTTAATATCTCCAAAGTCTGCATCGTACAGTATTTCTTGGCTATATATCATAAGATACCCCATGAACAATATCTGCATAGTGTGTATCTACAACAAGAGGTATTCAACAAGTATTCATTTATTAGACAAACTAGAATCAACGAGTTCAAAATGACTGAGATCACATTGTATGCATACGACTGCTTACTTTTATCACCAAAAGAGCTGATCCGCTTTTGTCCAAGACAATGAAAACTAAGGCATAGATCGGTAGAACAAAACAATATTTCATGCAACCGCGGTAGATTTCACTCCTTTTCCTTGTTGTTATGGCTCTACACAATAAATTTCCACAGCCAATTGTTATACCTGTCAAAAGTTTGAGAACAATGCTGGAGAACAAGCATGGAATGTCAAGATTATCCAAATATGGAACAGGGAACAACAAGCTGCTAATCAACTACACATACAGAAGGAGCAGAGGAGTAACAGAGCAAGCAAATGTGCTATAACATACTATATGCTAGAATGCACAAATTCAAGTAAACTGCGCAAGAATGATACCAAATGACTATGTATTATGTCAAATTCATCCTCTCCAATACCCTTATCTTGTGAAAAAGAGCAGCATTAAGGAATTCTAGTAAATCAAATGATCATTAAGTATATACCAATCGCTCTCTCTATACAATTGTAGAATGCAAAAATCAGGTTCTTGATAATATGATATGACAAGAAAGCAGTAAAAAGAAAAAAAGAAAAAACTTAAACAACAGATATTTAGTATCTTTTGAGTCATACCGTTGCTCGATTTCGAAGAGATAATTTGGAAAAGCACTAACAGAAGCACCGAATGAATAGGCAGCCAACATTGAGAGTAAGAACCTTGTGTTCTGCATAAGACAGAAGATTTACGTTATAAGAATCGACTTGAAGAATAATTCAACAAAATCTACCAGCCATTGATCATGTACGTACCACTCTCCCTGGTGGAATAATGTAAAGCAAGATTAAACTTGTTACATAAGAAAGGACTGTGAATTTCCCCCCAGCTACCGAGATCCATTGCATGAAGGATCCAAAAGTAGAGCAGTACATGGCACAGAAGAGAATAAGATAGACCTATATTTATTTTGAGCAAAAAAACTAATCAATCAGAGGAAAAGGGGAAATCGAATACTTACAGGCAGAAGCAAAAATGTTCCAAAATGTATGTATTTACCTTCATCAAGGTTGTGTGAACTTGCTCAGGAATTTCATTGAAATTCATCATGTCGTTTCGGTTCCAATTCCGATTGAAGTACCATTTCACACCATTAATGATCTGCAATTTCATATCTGAGAAATTCATCTTCTTCTTATTTTTTGCAGAGAGAAGGAAAATGAGCTCTGTTTTTATACAGAGAAGTGTTTTTGCTAAAGTTCGTTACTAACCGTTATTCCTTTTTGGGATATTTACGATTTTACCTTTCAGTTTTAAGCTGAGTGTTGGAAATAAGTGGGGGCAGTTTCGTCTCCACGCTCAGGTTGTTGGCGGGAACGTTTAGGACTAACTTTTGTGGAAATTAGAGAATTATACAATGTTGAATTTTCTTGATTTATTTGTATGCTTACTCTCTTCATATTTTGAAACTCATTACTAAGAAAATTCAGACTCCTCCATTAATATTATCGCGTTGCTTCACTCAAAATATAAATAAAATTGTTTGTCGTCTACTTAATGTAATCTAATTTTCGAAACGTGATACTATTGATTTAGAAATAACTAACATTGTAACTTTTAGATTTAACTCCTACATTACATATATAGAACTCTCGCCTAAAACATTATTGTTAGTGATGCTTTAGCTTTAAAATATGCAGGGATGGCAATGGGGCGGGGAGAGTTAGAGCTTTTGTGGGGGCGGGTTTAAAATATGTAGGGATGGTTCTCAACTCATTACAGAGGTCCTTATTAAATTTTTTCAGAAAAAGATTTTGGTGCTCCAGGACGTCAGATTCATGAATTAATACACATGAAAAACTGAGAAATTTGGGTAATTCCTAAAAAATGGTCTGTAAATGCAAAAATAAGCGTTAAAATGGTGTGAGTATACGTAATGATTTCCTAAGTCATTACGAAGGTCCTTGTAAAGTTTTTTCAGAAAAATTTTCTTGTGCTCTAGAGCGCAAGATAAATGAGCTAATACACATGAAAAAATGAGAAATTTGGGTAATTCCTAAAAATGGCCTATAAATGCGACAATATGCTTTAAAATGGTGTGAGTATACGTGATGGTTCCCCAATTCATTACGGAGATCCTCATAAAGTTTTTTCGAAAAAATATTTAGGTGCTCTGGAGCGCCAGACAGTGGTGGACCCAGAAATTTTACCAAGTGGGTTCAACATATAAAAAAAATGAAGCAGTATTAAATGTTGTGGGTGGGAATCGTACCCGCGATGCATCAGTCAAATTGTAACCACTTTGCCGTTGGGCTACGTGTTACTATTCATTTAAGTGGGATCAAATTAATTATATACAATGTTTTGTTTCAAAAAACAAATTGAATATATATGTATATACAATGTATTTTTTCGACGAAGTGGGTTCATATGAACCCACTTGCAACAAGTTAGGTCCGCCGGCGCCAGATCCATGGGCTAGCTAATACACATGTAAAACAGAGGAATTAGGGTAATTCCTAAAAAATGGTTTGTAAATGCAAAAATGTGCGTTAAAAATGGTGTGAGTATACGTGATGGTTCCCCAACTCATTCCAGAGGTATTCTTAAAGTTTTTTCAGAAATTTTTATGGGTGCTCCGAGGCGCCAGATCCATGGGGTAATACACAAGGAAATTATGTGTTAAAAAATGTTGTGAGTATATGTGATGGTTCCCTAACTCATTACTAAGGTCCTCAAAAAGTTTTTTTTCCAGATGGGTATTTTCTAAAAATGACTTGTAAATGCGAAAATATGCGTTAAAAATGGTGTGAGTATGCGTAATGATCCCCTAATTCATTAGGAAAGTTCTCATAAAGTTTTTTCAATTTTTTTTTTTGGGTGCGCTGGGGCGCAAGATCAATGGGCTAATTAACATACAAAAAACTGAGAAATTTGGATAATTTCTATAAAATGGCCTGTAAATGTGAAAATATGTGTTAAAAATGTTGTGAGTATATTTGATGGTTTCCTAACTTATTACTGAGGTCCTCATAAAGTTTTTTCAAAAAACATTTTTGGGTGCTTTGAGGCGACAAATCCATGGGCTAATACACGTGAAAAATAGAAGAATTTGGGTAATTCCTAAAAATGGCTTATAAATGCGAAATATGTATTAAAAATGGAGTGAGTATACGTGATGGTTCCTCAATTCATTACGGAGGTCCTCATAATATTTTTTAGAAAAAATCTTTGGGTGCTCCAAGGCGCCACATCCATGGACTAATACACATGAAGAATTGAGGAATTTGGACAATTCCTAATAAATGATCTGTAAATGAGAAATATGTGTTAAAAATTGTGTGAGTATACGGGATGGTTCCCCAAATCATTACGGAGGTCCTCATAAAGTTTTTTCAGAAAAAAATTTGGGTGCTCCGAGGAGTCAGACCCATGAGCTAATACACATGAAAAATCAAGAAATTTGGGTAATTTCTAAAAAAAAGCCTATAAATGCGAAAATATGCGTTAAAAATATTGTGAGTATATGTGATAGTTCCCTAACTCATTACAGATGTCCTCATAAAGTTTTTTTAGAAAATATTTTGTGGTGCTCTAAGGCGCCATATCTATGGGCTAATTTACACGAAAAACTGAGGAATTTGGGTAATTCCTAAAAATTGGCATGTAAATGCGAAGATATGCATTAAAAATGGTGTGAGTATACTTGATGGTTACCCAATTCATTAGTGATGTCCTCATAATGCTTTTTAGAAAAAAATAAATTGGGGGCTCCTGAGCGACTGATCCATGTGCTAATACGTATTAGCTACAAAATTATTAGCTACGACATCAAATTCGTCACTAATTGTTCGCTTTTTAGTTACAAAATTTACTTTTCGTGCTTAAATATATGAGACACATACTTTTAGTGACGAAACATAAAAATCCATAGCAAAGTTTTGTCCACTAAAGTTGCCCACCAGAAAAATAATTGGTGCCATTTATTAAGTAGTGTTAGTCACGAATTTAAAGTTATCAGTGACACATTATTTCGTCACTAATAATGTATCTAATTCATGACAAATTATTTTTTTGTCTTAAATTTTATTAATTTTTGGACACAAAAAAAATTTCATCTAAAAAAATATGTTGTTACAATATTGACAAATTAGAGTTCGTAGTTATATGTTATAAGCTTTAGCTATAAAAATTTAGATTTAATTATGACATTTATTTTCGTCACTATAAATATAAATAATTGGTGACAAAGATTTTATTGTTTCTAATCAATCTGTGATTTAGTTACAACAAAATAATTGTCACAAAATATGTATGATGTTAAATAGCGACGACTTAAAATTTGTAGTGAATAATTCAACTATTTGCTACGAAAAAAATTCATGGCTAAATACAATTTTTTTGGCTACAATTGTTGAAAATTACAACTTACAACTTACAAAAAGAATAATACAGGTGCTTCATAAGAAATAGAAAGAGTCCATTCGTTATTTGGCGAGGGAAAATATTAAAATCAACGAATTCGATCAATCTTGTAAAAATGAAAAAGTTCAATTCATTAACTTTCT